TTAAGGGTTCCATCTTATCCAACAGAGGTGTACCAGTCACACATTGTGCATACATTCTGAGACCCTGCACTTGGGGGTATCTTGAAGTCTATGAAACTATGACCCCTTCCAGGAACATAGAGGGCTCTGACTCTGGTGTTAGCACGTTATACCCAACCAGAACATGTGGGCATATGTGACAGCTGCAGAAGAGATGTGGGAGGACACATGAGCTGGAGAGTTGCTAGCCTGCATCACATGGCCTTGGCATGAGGTGGGGCCCCCTTTAGCCCACAGTGATCAGAAAATGTGTTGCACTGTGCATGCTCACCTAATCAGAGTGCATATCTATCATAATGTCACATACTCCATCAACCAGATGGCACAACATCCTTAACCAGAAGGCACAACTATCATGATGCTATACTCAAACAGAGCGGGTACCTACCATGATGTCACTTGTGCATTTAAACAGAGGCCACACCTGTCATAATGCCACATATTCACTTAGCCAGAGGACACACCTACCATAGTGTCATGTTCACCTTACCAGATGGCATGCCTCCTATGGCATCATACTATACATTCCTTAAGATAATTCTAAGTGTTAGCCCTCGTTATGCCTTTTTTAAAAGAATGTGGTGACAATATGGAGGAACCATTTTCAAGACACATGAATAATTAACCAGGAAGACATCTGCAGTCGGTGGATGCAACGGTTTCCCCCCTCTCTCTCCAGGTTGTGGCTCTGTAAAGAGAGCACCACACTGGGCTGTGTGATGGTGCTCCCTCGAGTCCCTTGAGGACAGACTGAAGTCAGAACTGAGATGTGCTGGCTATTGCCCCATCTCTTCTTGGCAAGTGCTGATGCAAAGTTCTCTGACTCTAAGATGATCTATTTCAGTACACTGGTACCCAGTTCTCTTATGTTAGAGAATGTCTCTGCTATTCTCTGGGTGGGTGTGGCCAGTGTCTGCCTGAGGTCCTGTGTTTACTTGGTGGTAAAGAGATAGAAAAGCAGGAGGCAGAGGGGCCAGGGTTTCAGCCTCCAGTAAGCAGCAGATGGCTTCCCCTACAGGAAAGAGCTGTGCTCTGGGCCAGAATGAGTGATCTGTGAGAACCTCAGGATCCCTATTTTAAGTATTTTGCCTGAATTTGCATGCTTGTCCAATTAAGCACTATTTAAGACTTTTTATTATTTTATGTCAGTTTTCTTCATCATCTATATAAGACCAGTGTTCTAAGCCAGGGAGCAATATGTACCACCAAATTTTTTTCCTCTTAATATCGTAAACACAAAACCAAGTTTATAGCAAGATGGTCAGGATGTTTTTGTCTCACAGTCTAAGAAGCAGCAAGTATAGAATGAGATTCCTTATTCATCATTTCCTTTCTCTGAGTGCTTTTATCCATAGTCTCATTATAATAGAAAATAAAAATATATACTGATAAAGCCAAGCATTTTTGTTTAGCAAACTTCACACCCTTAACCATAAGTCTAAACTATCTTCAGTGCTACTGTCCATGGCAGCTATTAGGAAAGCAATAAGGGTCATCGACCAGCGTCCTTTGAAAACCTCCTTTGGCCCGCCAGAAGCACTTCAGTGCTGACAGCCAAGCCATTGCCTCCCCCAAGGGAGCTGAGGGCCGTTTCCATGGAAACCAAGCCCATTTCTTCAGTGGTTTCAAAACCCAAGCTGTGCACACAGGCTGCTTCTGACTGTCCCACGTGGGCTCCCTTCCTGGGAAGATGTGCTCCTAGACGGACTGTTGCCAGCATGACAGGGAAAAGCGGACTCCACACATCTCCCATCACCAAGGCCCTGGAGCAGACAGGCCTGAGAGCAGGTGCCTTTTTCAGAGGAATCATCATTCTATCACTCAAGGCTGCAGAAAATTGTGGTTTTGAATATTGAGATTTCTTGAGGCTGGAAATTTTGTATGTAAATCTATGAGTTTAAGAAAGCCTTAAAGTCTTGACAGTCAGACAGGAATGAATGCCTGGAGCCCCTTCAGGGGAGAGCCAGGTGAAGCCGCCTGAACTGCCTTTCTCAGCCCAAATGTGCCACCTACAGGTGGAGAACAGCACTGCAGCAATCCTGAGCTCAAATGGCGAAGGGAGAGAGGAGCTCCTCCCACAGAGAGGCTGTCTAACCCCACGGCTACCCCGTAGCTGTAGATAAGGATGTCTTATGTACACAAGGGTACCAGGGTCTTATCTACAAGAATACCACAGCAGTTCCATGGCCTCGTGGCTAACAGGTGGCCTCACCTGGCCAGGTTCCAGAAGGAAAACCTGATTCTCATAGTGTAGAACAATGAAAGCGAGAGTTTTTTTTTTTTCACTTTTGTGTTTGTGGGTTTTTTCTATAGTAATAATGGCAAAAAAGTACATTTTGAACCTCTTTCTTACCCGGTAATGAATTATAACTCTATAAATGACAACCTAACCCATAGAAGCTGCAAAGGTTTTTGTGGGTAGAGGTGGTACGATCCTATTACCGTGGCTTTTCCATGGTTATAATACCTCACTTCCATTTCGAGTAGAATATGGCAACTTCTACTCCCACGAAAGAAACAGATGAAGAATGTTTACTCATATTAAATGAGTAAACTCTAAATTAACTTTCACTAGGTTTTTAATTAGGAAGAGCTTTAAAATCTCCCTTTGGTAGAAAATAAGGCCAACTTTGTCCCTGGTGGGTAGGAAACACAGAGTCTCTTCATACACCTCTAAACTGAACTGTCATGATGTTCAGTATCTCTCAGGATGAGTTCACTGCTTCCAAGATTTTCTCTCAGGTGAGTTCTTCAGCATTGGGAAACCAGCCACTCAACAAGTCCACTGAGTTACAGGTCTTATGATCACACAGGAAGTGAAAACCAACACGGTTATTCTGTTCAAACCCAAGTCTCCAATCAGGGCTGGGGTTGCTATTGACAAGCAGAACTCATTAAAACAAGCTCAGCCCCGTTCTGTAACCAATGCCTATCTCAAAGGTCTACCTCCGGTGTGGACCAGAGCACGCTACAGACTCTCCACTGCCCTGCCACTCAGTCGGCTTTGCTCCTCCCCTAACACAGGTCATAAATTAAACGCTGTCCTTACATGTGGTATGGATACTGACTTCTGTGCCCTAAGATCTAGATACACATTCCCTTTCATAAGACAAGAGGGAAATTAGAAATTTTCTAAACCCTGAAAATTGTTTATGCATCCAAGTGTGGCAGTCTGCCATCCACACATTTGAAACGTGTCCAGTTCCTGTGTGTGCACCTGCTCCTTGGCACTGTCATCCAGTCTAGAGAAGGCACATCTGTGGGTGACTAGTGTGCCAGTCTCACTGTACCAGGCTGTGGACTAGCCTCATTTTTGTGCACAGGTAGCCTGCCAATCAATCTTACTCTGTACTTAGCTAACAGGCTGGCCCACCCTTAGCATTGCAAAGCAGAACCATTTCCTAAGCAGAGAGGATAAAAGACCTTTGGGAACAGAACATATCTGCTGACTGTTCACATGTGTGGCTTTGTTCTTGACCTGGCTTCAGGCTTTCTCTGGGTAAGGATGAGCACACAGAGCATGGTCTTCTTTTCATTAACAGAGAGTAATTTTGTTCAGTGTGCCACTGAATCTGTGTTATTTAATGGAAAGGTATCTTTTCTTAACTTCTGTCCCTTAGTTTTACCTTCTTAGTGGCACAGAGGCAATGAAGTTGCTTTGAGAAGCATGTTTTTGCATTGCTATCTGCTTGTTCTTAGGATGGTGTATTTAAGAAATTAATGGAAGACTGGTAGATAGCTCCATGTTAGAAGTGCTTACCTTGCAAGCATTAAAGACTTCGTGCTATTCCCAGAACACACTATAAAAACAAAATAAAAAGTTTAAATCTAGACAGATGACACGTGCTCATATTCCTATCACTGGGAGGTAAAAGCAGGTGTATCCATCTCTGGGGCTTCTAGCCAACCTAATCTACTCCGTATGTTCCAGGACACTCAGAGACTCTGTCTCTAAATAGATAGTTGATAGGCAGATAGATGATAAAGATAGATAGATAGATAGATAGATAGATAGATAGATAGATAGATAGATAGATAGAAAGTCAGGCAGATAGATGAGTAACCAGTGCCTGAGGAATAATACTGATGATGTCCACTGACCTCCACATCCATGTACCCTAATGCATGCACACACAGGTACATACATACACACATACACACACATTCTCACAAGTTATTTGTAGAGAAACAATTATAAAATCCCATCAATAGTACAAGTAACCTTAAGGTACCAGATGAATTTATTTCTGTGGGTTTAAACAGACTTCTTCACAGAGGAGCCTATGGCTAATATGAGATGCCAGACAGGGCATGCAGATGCACCTCCTACATTGTACCCCCAAATGGAAAAGTAATAGGCTTAAGGTAGAGCAGACCTGTAGGTTTGTGACTAGAGAATTTTGGGTCTGTCCCTCCAGCCACCCCCAGCACAGGTACTAGCTGTTACCTTTTGTGGGCTCTAGGATCCCCCAGTCTGGACAGAATTATGAGGACATGGATCCCTGTTTGGGGTTGGCTCAAAATAGGTCATGCCCTTAGCCGTGACACATATCTTTCCATGTTTGTATCTTGTCATGTATAGATTGTTGTGATAGCAAGTCCTGCAATAATTGGCCATGACTAATTAGGTTCAAGGGAACAGTAAGGAGACAAAAAGGCCATCTGGGGGACCACAAACCTAGTGACACAGGATGATAGGTGCTTCAGAGACTGAGGATTCCTAAGTGGTCACAAAACCCATGGTCCTTTGTGCATGTCCTTGTGCTGGGAAATTAGGAGGCAGAGATGGATTTGTATGTGGTAATGGCCATGAGTGAGCTAGGGAGCTCCCAGACCAATTTAGTCTCCCTTAGTAGCAAGGGTACACAGTAAAGAGTTTGCCTTTCAGATAAATAAAATCAACTACCCAGAGGGGTTGATTTCCTTCAAGTAAATTACTGCATTTGCATTTGTACTTGTAGGTGTCCCACCCCTGGCTGTGACGGTTCTGGACACATCACTGGCAATTATGCTTCTCATCGAAGGTATGTAGACTCATCAGAACTTCCCTCTCTCCCCAGAGCAGCAGCTCCACTTTGGCAGGAGTGCTGCACTCCTGGCTGATGTGTGGGCTGGATCTGACATAACTCAGCTAAGGAGTTATAGACTTGGAGTCCCAGGGCTATCCTCTCGGGGGCTGCTAGATTATTCATCTCTTCTGGGTCCGTATACCACTCTAGAGCAGCAAGAGGCCACTAAAACATTTCCAGTCCTCCATTCTAGAAGAACAAAGGAAAAAGACTCATCTCCAAATGTGCTATAAGTTTCTGACGATGCCCCATGTCATTGAATATTCTCAGCTAACGTTAGGATTTAAAGCATAAAACTGCAGTTACTATAAGCAAGGTCACTGTCACAGAGATGTTTAACTTTAAGTTTCTCATCCCACACAATGAGAGTGGAGGAGCTACAATATGACACAGAACCCCCACCACAGGAGTTGACAAAAGACTTCCACTGCCTGTCATTCCATCAGCACAGTGGGTGCACACTTTATGACAGGCCCTGCTGGAAGACAGCTGAAAGAAAATCTTGGTCTATACCACCACAGAGTCAGGCTAGATGGAATACTTGATAAAGGTGCTGAGGCCAACTTTCCTCAAGGGGCCTGGTGACAGGTTCAGGAATCCCACATCAGAGCCTCAAAGCCCGATGACACCTATAAGGACAAGTGGGGCTCTACTAGGAGGCAGGCCGTCAGTAAATTTCAAACCGTCACCAGAACTAAGGGTTCCTGACTGACCCCATAACATTTCCTCTGAGGGCATAAGATGACCGTGCAGGCACCAAGGTCTTGGGAGTTTTACTAAGCTAGCTTGGCAGGGTTCTCGTTCAGACTCTGCTATGCAAGGGCAGAGTAGGGATCCAAGGTTGGGATTCTCGGGCTTTGGTCACAGAGAATGATCTTTGTCAGATTCTGAAAACTCAGGAGTTCCACGGGGCCATCCCTGTCTGTAAAAACAGAACATGCACATCCTGCCAAACTGCAGAGAAGCACACAATCTCCACAAGGCTTCCTCAACTGCAGCAATGCTGGCATTGGTGAATAGAAAGTCCTTTGCTCTGGGGTTTCCCTCAAACTATAGGCTGCTGAATGGTACCATGACCCCCATCCTCAGGTGCCAGTCAGGAGGTCTGCTTCCTTGACTTGTGCCACCAGGTATGCTAGACAGAGTGAGATGCTTCTGGAAAGGTTTCCAGAGTAGATGGTTGATTTATATTAAAGAGAATTCAAAACACTCGTTAAATATATAAAGTCAAGTACATTCAATTCTAGTCTTTATAATAATTTACCTTAGAAAACAAATGCCTCTAGAACATTCATAATTTTGTAAATTTGTACAACTGAAAATGGAAGTTTCCTGGTCACTCCACATCCAATGTCTGGCATTGTGTACCTACCTTTGATAATAATGCAGTATAAGCATGTTTATTCATTTGACTTTTGATTTAGAATGTTAGGTATTAGTAAGATACAAATGTGTCATTAAAATGTAATTTAGAACAAGGCATGATGGTTCACATCTGTAATCCCAGTACTTGAAAGCTGAGGCAGGAGGATCAACAAGAGTTCAATACCAAAATAATGTGGGATTAGTTTATGAGTATGTATGTATGTATGTATAGGCATACGATGTATATGTGCATATGTGTTGTGTATATGTATGTGTTGTGTATCTTTGTGTACATGTATGGTGTGTGTGTACACATGTGTACTTGTCTATATATATGGTTATATGGCATGTATATATGTGCAGTACATAAATATGTGTGCAGGCCATGTATGTGTGCTGTGTGTCTTTGTATGTATATGTGGTAGTGTCCATGTTTATGGGTGTGCATGGCTGTGTGTGTATGTGTGTGCCCGTGTGTGTGTGCCCGTGTGTGTGCGTGTGTGTGTGTGTGTGTGTGTGTGTGTGTGTGTGTGTGTGTGATTTGTGTGTTAGGCTTATATTTAAGCTATGGTCTGTCCTGATGTAAATTCAGGCTTTATCAACAGAGTTGAAAAGCAAATTTGATTTTGAGGAGAAAACTTTTTGCAAATATCGCCTTGTAGCAGTTTAGCAAACAGAAAATGAAGTGTTATGTAATAACAAGTTCCTTTATGTAGAAGTTGACATAGAGTCAAGCATATTAAGCAAGAACACTGCATTCAGTTCGCAGTTCTTATGTAAATTTTCCACTAAGGAAAGACTGAGGTCACAGCTAAATAAGCAAAGGTCTGTGTAAGTCGAATAAAGACAGAAGTCAACGGCTAGATGAGTACCTTCTTCAGGTTCATTGGCCACAGGATGATTAGAAATCTTCCTTCTCTTTATTTTCTGAATCCCTTCACAGAAACACAGGCCATGAGATACTTGTGGCACATAAACCATAGAGGAAAGTTTGCCTAGACAGGGATACATTGCCCCCCTCCACATACATAAACATATGCCACAATTCAACTCAGTTTTGAGTACAGAGTATCTCCATGCTACAATAAGAAGTGAGGTTTCAGAGCAAGGATTCCAAGCAGGCCAAGGGTCAGAGGCCCATGGGTAGTTTCTGGCACCCAGGGGTTTGCCCTTCCTGGTCATAGATTGGCACACACATTGCCTTGTCTGGAGTTACAGGGTGCCTCTGTTCTACGACGCAAGATCCTAGAGGAATACACAGACCTCTTTGGAACAGAAATGAACTGAAGTCTTGGCTTAGTCAGTGTGCTGTTGCTGTGAAGAGACACCATGGACACAGCAACTCTTATAAAAGAAAGCATTTAATTGGAGATTGCTTACAGTTTCAGAGGCTTAGTCTGTTATCATGGCAGGAAGCTTGGTGGCACACAAGTATACATGCTATTGGAGAAGTAGCTAAGCATTCTACTCCTAGATCTGTAGGCAGCAGGAAGAAAGAGACACTGGGCCTAGCTTAGGCCCTTGAAGCCTCAAAACCCCACCAGTGACACACTCCCTCCAACAAGGCCATACCTACTCCAACAAGGCCTAACTTCCTAATCCCTTCCAATTAGTGCCACTCCCTGATGACTAAGCATTGAAACATATGAGCTTATGGGGACCACCATTCCTACTCAAACTACTGTAATGCTTCTCCCTATACACTGAAGACAGGGAACCCATTCTTTTTGGGGGCTGAGGAAACTGAGGCACTAAGAGATGAACTACAGCTGGAATTAGCCATGGCACCTAACACAAGTGTCACATCTCCATGGACCTATGAGCCCAGAATGGTACTGGAAGACCATGGGGTGGGGTTCAGCCCTCAGGGAAAGGGTGCACCTAGAGACATGCTAGACAAGATGCAATTGGAACTTGCTGGTTTAGTTTTGAATGGTGCAGCTTCGAGTCACAATGCCATGTCTGAAACCCCCAAAATTCATCTTAACAAATATCTATGGACTGCTGTATCTTCTGAAACTTTCATCCATCACCTCCTCCTCCCACTGTCCTCTCATGGGCCTGTAGAACTTTCACAGTTTACAACCTTCAACTGACTTTTTCTTAGAATTCTTTATCATTTCCTTGGCCTCTCAGAGATCTTCTGTCTGCTCTTATGCTATCCTCCGAGTCTTCTTCATCTGCAGTTTCTTTTTTTAACAGTGCTGCAGTGACTTATGAAGGCTCCTGCCACACAGGCTCGCGGGGCTCCCTTGTTGTCTGATCGAGCCCTCCCATTTCCCTTTCAACAGGATCTTACAATAGCAAGACACCCAAGACTCCTTGGCTCCTACTCTGTGTCTCACAGGGGATTCTGTGCCTCCCATTTAAGGCACTCCGACATCTTAAGGAGCATCTAACCACCTCCCCAGAACACAGGACATTGTAAACTCATCACTTCCTATATACAAAGTATTGCACTGAGCTTCCTGTATATATGGCCTCAATGTCCTGTGAGATTATTTTTTATCAAACTTGAAATGAGGAATTGAGGCTGGAATGCAAACTTGCCATGCTGTCAGCTCAGTGTTCTCCCAAGCCCTTTCCTGTTGTCCCATGAGGTGAAAGACCTAAGGCTCCAGCCCAAAGATTGATGGCACCTTCTGCTTTGTTTCACTGTGCTTTGAGACATCCAAACAGGGACCCAGGGGCCTGTGCTGCTATTTGGAGAAGCATCACCCAATCATAAAGACACCAGGCTTGCTGGCATCCAGAAGCCCAAAGAGAAACAGAAGGTTGTGACCTTCTCTAGAGATCTGTGGACGATACAACCTGGAACTTCTGACCAAAGCTGTTCACAAGCCACAGGGAAACCTCTTTTCACCTGAGCTGGCTAAGGCCCATCCTAGCCTGTCTCTCTACCCTACAAAAATTTAGTAGAAGACCCAAACTGGCTGCATTCAATTCTAGGACCATGCAACACTTCACTCCACAAAGCAGCAACTGCTCTAATATGTAGATGAAATAGGCTGTTGGTATACAGAGAAAATCAAGATTGGATTCCTAATAAGGCAGGAGACAGAGCAGTAGACACCTTAAGAAATTGGCTTTCATCTTTGTCTAACTCTGGTTTAAAGTCAGGCAAACAGCGTAAGTTCAACTCAGGGATGTGAACATTAGTGTGGCATGCTGGGGCCTGCTACCAGAACCTCCTATGCTGTCATGTTTTCAGATATATACATTTTCAAGCAAAAATGTAAATATCCACTGAGCCCCTGAGGTGGCAGTAAGTGAATTGTGGGGAAACACAGTTTCTGCTTATGAAATTTTTAGTAATTTATAGCGTGATTTCAAATTTCAAATTTCAGCCCAAGATTCCAGAAACCTAGACTCCCACAGATATTTATTGAGCACATACTACATTCTAGATGTCAAGTGACAATAATAACCAAGAAGGTTCTGTCCTCAAGGTACAATTAATCTAAGGAAGAAAGAGACACAAAGGCCTGGGTGGAGCCTTGGGCTGCTCTGGGCAGGGGAGGTTTTCAGAATAAGGTAAGCTGGGAATTGTGGTGCCTTTTGAACATACATGCACCCCATATTCAGTACAGAGGAAATATAGTACAGTATAGTAATTCCGTACAGTACAAGGGTACAGGAAGGAAAGTGCCAGTTGGATGAAAGTGAGTGCCCATAATGTAATAACATGATCTGAGGTGTGACAGCTACCAGATAAGACGGGGAGTGGTTCTGTTCAAACACATCATCTTTGAGGTTCTTAGAATAAGTCAGTTAAGAAGGCAGACTTGAGGAGGAGGAAGAGGAGGAGGAGGAGGAAAACTTTCTCTGACCAGGCAGGAGAAGTCTGAAGGAGTCATTGGAAAGTAAAAAGAAAAACAAAACAAAACAGGATTTAAGAGAGAAAAAGATGAGCTCAAAAAGGCTGGTGTTGGATATGAGGAGTGGTACATGGAACCTTAGAACTCACTTAAAGGTCAAACACCTGCAATTTTGTCTCTCTGTCACTCAGGAAGAAAGAGAAGGTAAGCTGCCTTCTGTAGGTGCCGATTTAGATCTTAAGGAAGGACTATAGATGTTGTGGACTCTATACCATCTCTGGCCTCCTGTTCTCTCCTTTCTTTGGGGGATTCCTTTAAGAGTTGGTTCACAGGAACCATGATCAGAAACATGGCCAAAGTACTACCAGTACCAGGGCAGACACTTCACAAGCTTGCCTGGTGCCATTCCCAGGCTAATATATAGTAAAATTCATCATGGGAATCTCTGGCATTTATGAAGAATGATGAATTTCATGTCCATGTTTACAGCAAAATAAACAGTATTGAGTCTTGGGTTGTAGTTCAATTGGTAGTGTGCTTGCTTAGCATGCAGATAAGTTCCGGAATCTTACATACATAAAACCAGGTGGGATGGTACATGCTGCCTGAAATCTCCGGATCCCAGTACTGACAAGGTGGAGGCAGGAGGATCACAAATTCAAAGTCATCATAGGCTACATAGTGAATTTAGGCCAGGCTAGTGTGTGTGTGTGTGTGTGTGTGTGTGTGTGTGTGTGTGTGTGTGTGTTATATCAAACAGAACAAAAACAACAAAGTAGAGTACTGAGTCACTTGAAAGTCCTTGGCAGTGGTAGAAATCCATGTGCTTCCATCAGTCAGGAAGAGTAACATGGGTTGTACCAAACTTCCAGTCAAATGCTGAAGTGCTATTTGTGAAAATAAGACCCTGTAGCCCAGGGCTTATAAGCCACTGAACATAATGGGCAGGGAAACTGGACCTCACAGTGTCCAGAGAGAAGCCTGCTTCCCAAGTCCATCCTTCCCCATTATGTTCACACTGATGCATTCGGCAAATACTTAACTGTCACTTGCTCCGTGCAAGGCCCAGAGTAAGAATTAGAGATGGAGATGAGTACGAGGTGGCTCACATATCCTTAGGACCAGCCTGTTGGAGGACCCTTTGGAGGAGGGAAAGGTAGGAGGCCAAGGCCTTCTTAGTAGATAGGCTCTCCTTGTGGAGGCTGAGCTCATAGAGAGTGCAGACAAGGGGCACATGAGGCTGAAAGGAAAGTGAAGGTGCAGTGAGAAAAGCCATCAGGGGACACTGAGCTAGAGATGGCGGAGGGATGAGCTGGAACGGCAAAGAAATGGGCAGCCTCACAAGCTATGCACAGGCCAAAGCCCACCCTGCATGTCCCAGAATGAGACGTCTAGGTAAAGGGAAAGATGCTCAGCGGAGGCCTAGTCCATGAAGATTCCTTGAAAAAAATCTCCAGTGCCTCTCTATCCAAAACCTAGAAAGCAACAAACATGTTCAGACTTCAGCATTCCTTCTGTAGATACAACCAGATGTCTACACTTGGGTGAGATGAAATATCTCCCAGCACAGGGCTCTTGGGCTCCAGGGCTCTTGACCACATCAAGATGGGCCTGTCTTCCCTTCATGTTACCTCACCATCCCTCCATTTCTCCCTCCTTCCTTCCATATCCACAGAACCTTCTCTAGCATCTTCTCTGATTAGTCCTCACTGTTCCCATTTCTCAAGCTGGCCATTCACCATGTCTGCAGTACCTAGTCCATTCAAGGCTCTTACCCTCCTTGAGAGGGAACTGAGAGGACATAGGGGCTATGTCCAAAATGCACTCCCCATCCCAAATTAGTTCCCAAATCCCCGGCTTAGAGAGAATCAGGTCCCTGTCGAGGAAGTTTTCCCCAAGTCTGTGTTGAGTGTTTCTGAAACCTGTCTCTCCCTCAGCCTTTCTGGGTGCCCAAGAGCAAAGAAGAGTGGCATCCGGATAGCACAGAGCAAAGAGGACAAGGAGGACCAGGAGCCGATCAGGTACGGGGCCAGCAAGGCTCACATCCACTGAATACCCATGAGAAAGGGGGCCAATGAGGGCCAGAAGGCATCTGGCATGGTTTCCCTAAGCCACTAAGTCAGATGAAGGTAAACCAAAGTGCATCTGCTAACTGGACACAGGGTTTCAGATGTCCATGCACACTCTTGGTCACCAAGAAACACTCCCTTCCCTGGAGTATACTAGGGACTGCAGGCTCATGAAAGGCTGTGAAGGCTTGACGTAAACCTATAGCAAATGTTCGGCCGTCAGGCTGGCTCGATAAAGCCGGTAGTCTGCCTTGCCCTTCCTGAGTGGGCTTGGGAGAACAGCGGCCCTGCACCTTCCTCTGTGGGCCAAGGGCTGGTGGGCCTGCTTGCATTTCATTTTCATTTTCTATTTCTCCTTACTTTCCCTCCCTCCCAGGGCCCCAAACCTCACAAGATACACTTGGTGGGTCTGCATTAAATGTCAGTATCAGTACTTTAAGAGATAGATTTTTAACTCACACAGAAATCAGTGAAGACATAGGTTATTAAGGTAACTAAAAATGTATCAAAATAAACAGAAAAATAGGGATTCTATGGTATGTAAATTTTGCTATCCAAAAAGAAATGTGGGGTTAGAGATTCAGCTTAGTTGACAGAGTCCTTGTCTAGCATGTATGAGGTTCAAAAGCCAGCACTGCATCAATGAGCCTGGGTGGCACAGACCTATAAGATGAATCTTCAAGGTGATCCTTTGCTACATAGCTAGTTCTTCAGGCCAGCCTGGACTATATGAGACCTTGTCAAAAGGGAGGGAGGGAAGGAGGGGCCAAAGAGAAGGGAAGGGAAAGGAAAGAAAAGGAGATGGAGAGAGGGAAAAAAAGGAAGGAAGGAAGGAGGACTGCCTCTTCATTAGCATATATTAATTGATCTCCTACACTGATCCATTGGCTTTGCATTTCACAACCAGAATTCTGTTCAAAAGTGACATTTCTGCAGACACCTGCATCTCACTAATGCTCCTTGTGTGAGTCGCCATACCTCCCAAACCACAGGACATAGTCCGTTGAGCTGCCTGTATGTCCCTAGTTTCCATTTCCAAAAGGGTAAATACCACATGTCCCCACTAGGTGGTGTCTTTCTAGATCGTCATCTTTGTCCTGACCCTCCTACCTCCACTTCCCAAATTGTAAGATTACAGGCGTGTGCCGCCACATCTGACTCTTCCCATTTCCCTTCCTCTTGTCCAGTAGAGCGTGGGTGTTAGTTGAGTGAGTGAGTGAGTGGTGAGTGAGTGAGTGAGTGAGTGAGTGAGTGAGTTTGTTTGTTTGCCATCGCATGGGGTGACTGTGTTGCATAGTTCACCATGCCCATGATGGTAAAGACAGTGAAGTTTGCCTCCTGTCTGTTGTACAGGTGTCCAGTCCCTGGCTGTGATGGTCAGGGCCACATCACTGGGAAGTATGCATCCCACCGCAGCGCCTCCGGGTGCCCGTTGGCAGCCAAGAGGCAGAAAGATGGGTACCTCAACGGCTCCCAGTTCTCCTGGAAGTCAGTCAAGACTGAGGGCATGTCCTGCCCTACACCTGGCTGTGACGGGTCGGGACACGTCAGTGGCAGCTTTCTAACACACCGCAGGTGAGTCCCTCTGCTCTTGGTGGGTTCGCTTTTCAGCTACAGAGGGTAGATGTCGAGGGAAGCAGGTTTTACCTTCTTCCTCATCATTCATGATAAGAGAACCAAGACCAAAAACATCTACCAAACTAACAAAATGTGGAGATCTGGGGAAAGATGTGTAGATCTGCAAGTTTATCTCAGAAGCACAAACCACTTCAACTTGGTCTACCTACCAGGACCATGGTTTTTAGGTTTGTTTGTTTGTTGTTGTTTTGGTTTTTAAACCAGGCTTCATTCACATTAAGAAGCAGACTTTAATCTTCCATGATCCCACAAGAGCACACACATAGATGTCTGTAGACTGAAACATGTCTTGCTTGGAATTCCAAAACAGCCCTGTCCTGGGGAAGGAGGTTGGTGCTTGTCACAGTGGCCTTGTAGCAGGTCTCTATCAGATACAGGAGAAAACTCCTAGGAAACTCAGCCGAATATCACTCATTTTTATTTGCCTAATTTGAATAGAAGCATGTCTCAACATCTTGAAGGAGACCTGCATGGTTCTGTGCCCTGTGCACCTTGGGAAAGCAATGGGTCTCTGTGGTAGCCAGTCTCACAGGAAAACCAGCAGGACCCGTTAGACTGGGTGTCTGAGTGCCAGGACCCACATTGCACAGTATCAATGCCTACTAGTTGGAGAGGAGACACAGGAGTTCCCTTGCCGATGCTCCCAGATGCTTCTTGCACTCAAGTATGCTCACACACACCTAGGTCTATATAAAACCACCTTAAGTAGTAAGCAGGTCAAAGGAGTAATGCTAACTTCAAGAGTTTGTGGCACAGAGCCTGAACATTTTTAAGTGTTTTTAGTTATTGAAAAAACTCCTGGCCTAGAAAGATGACTCTTTAGGGTAAAGCACTTGCTGTGTAGACATGAAGACCTGACTTCAGATCACAACGCCCATACAGCGAGTGAGGCCTGCTCCTGTGTGTGTGGTAACACTGGTTCTGAGGGAATCTCTGGGGCCTCTTTGTTGCCACCCTTACGGAAACCCCCTGTGAGAGCCTGCCTCAAAGTAACAAGATGGAGAGTTAATAGAGGAGGACATCCAAAGTCCTCTGGCTCCATGTGTATATGTCTGGTGTTGTGCCAGCAATGCTTCAGGGTCCAGTCTGCAGGAAAGGTCTGTTTATAAAATTTGAATAGGTAATGCAAAAATGCCTTCTGCAGAATCCCTCTTCTCATAACTTCAGCTAATAGTAACATTTTAAGATGTTAAAAAGTCCTGATGTGAGTCGGGGCACACATTTTCTTATACTTTTGGTGGTGAGCCATCTCTCCAGCCCAAGAGCACACATTTTCCAGCATGGAGAAGATAAAGTTTCAGACCCTGACTGTCACTAAGCAGCCTCAGTTACAGACAGTGTAGGTTGCAGACAGGCCTAGGAAGAGGTGGGACATTCTGTGAGGCCCCCAGAGAAGCGTCCTTCTCAGGTCTATCCACTTCACTTTTCAGTAACGAGTCTGAGGCGTGGGTGGCTGGAGGATGTTCCATCCTCTAAGGCTGCCTTCACTTGGCACAATGGAGTATAGAAACCACCTGCTGTTCACAAACTGCCCTCAAGGCTCCTGAGTGAAGGAGAAGCTCTGGAGTTCGGTCACCATGGTGATTAAGAGCAGCCAGGATATAGCCTATCCACTTCTCCCCAAGTATACAAGTGTCTCTGCTATGGGGCCAATGCCTTCTCATCCACTGCCCCCTCCGAATCTTGCCCTCAAAGGTCGATGTCACTGAGCACGCCATGGTGCTCGCCATCTTCCTGCCCCTTCCTCGTCGTGCTTTTCTGGGGTTGTTTTGATGGGGATGGAACTGTGGTGTGGAGCAGTGCACCGTGGTCAGGTGTGCACACCACGCATGGTGCGTGTCACATGCTCTGCAATATGTTCACCTTCGCCGTTGCTCTTTTCCCCAGGGGACTTGTCCCCACGGGTCCATATGTGGCCAGAATATCTGGCTGTTACAGCCAAATGCCAGTTGCAGGGCCAAGGGGTCCATCTGTGTCCTGAGAACCAATCCAGGCTGCTGGTCCTAGTCACCTCGGATTGAGTGTGAAATTGTGATGGCCACTGTCAAGGCCACTAACAGGAGCCTCTCAGTTCCTTTCAAAAATGAGGGCAGAGCCTAGAGACAAAGTGGAAACCCCCAAAAGGAAGTTAGTAGATAGTTCTATAATGGGAGTATCGCCAGGTACTGGTGAAGAAAATCACGGCTTTGTATAGGAGCAAGTGGAAGTCCAGATGGCGTGGGACAAGAAAATGATTCTTACTCTCCCTAGCATCCTTAGAGTTCAGCCATATCAGGAGAACCATGCAGACCAGGGTGCAGTACAGTACATACAAACAGAAAGCTCCACCAAACCAGCATTTGGATGCTCCCTAAGGCCAAGTTCCATGCAGGGCCCAGCAGTAAGGCGTGGACTCAACTCAGAACCACCAGGAAGGTCTCAGACTCAGGGCAGATAGAATGGATCGCATGCGAAGAAAGGCAGAGCACAGAGAAGCCTGAGGTGGGGAGCCCGAGTGGGAACTGTGGAAGCTCTCTGGAAAACCAAGGCGTCTTGAGAAGTCCTCCAAGGAAATGTCAGCTGCAGCCCCCCCACACACACACACACTCTCTCTCTCCTGAACAGCTAATGGTGCACTAGCCACTCACTTTACTCAGGGACCTAAGTGGAGACACTTCAACAGAAGAGCCAAAGGAGTTCAGGTGTGGTCTGCAAAGCTGCATCTCAAGGTGTATTCTCTGGGGAAAAGGAAACTATACTAAGAGGAGGGGAATTATGCAGCAACAGGGTAACCCCGGCACCACAGCTCCAAAGAGACAGGTCTCATCCCCAGGGGATGAGTGAGCCCAGATGAATGTAGACAATGGAGGGAGTTGTGATGAGGGCCTCAGATGAAGTCTAGCTTCTGTTGTTCTACAGAAGGCGTAGAAGACTAGGAAGGGTGGTAAGAGGCAGAAGGAGGAACTGAGAGAGGGAATTTTGAGCAAGAGGATATGTGGTCCCAGCCACAGCAGGACTAAGAAAACCTGTAGCATTTGGGTATAGAAAAGAACTAGGTTTTAAATTTGGACATATCAATGGGCACTGCCAATTATGACGAAATGTTAAAAGACTAAAGCCATTCTCTATGCAATGGAGTTGAAGCCTGAAATTAAAATTGAGGCATTGCCTTGGGGGCTGCCAGTGAGAACCATTTCCTTGTTTGCATTGTCTTCACAGGGTAGAGAGGTAATATAAGTTCTTTTTATAAGAACACTAATCTGATCAGATCAGGGCCCACCACCATACCTCATTAGCCTTAATGACCTCATTAAGGATTTTGTATCCTGATATAGCCCCATGGAGTGGGTTCTCAGGTGGGGAGGCTGGAGATATTCACTATACCAACTGTGTGTGGTGGTGCAGGGGTAAGAGGGAAAGGATCAGAAGTTTGAGGTTACCCTCATCTGTATATCAAGCTCAAGGCTAGCCTGGGATACATGAGATCCAAACAAAAACAGCACCTAAAACTATGTGAACTGAGACAGAGAGATGAATTGGTGAATAAAAGTGCATTCTGCTCTTGCAGAGAACTAAGTTCAGTTCCCAGCAACCACATCAGATGACTTACTACTGCCTGTAACTCCAGCTCTAGGGAATCCAGTACCCTCTTCTGGACTCCATAGGTACCTGGACTCATGTACACACACACACACACACACACACACACACACACACACACACACACACACTTAAAAATAAAGCTAAGTCTTATTTTTAAAATGTGAACTTTGAGGCACACAAACATTGAGACTATGACAGAAGAAAGCTATGGTGGATTCATCTTAACTATGTTGTCTTAAGATTTTCTGACACTTTAGACTAGAAATATCCACTGGACAGTTGGAAATCGGGTAAGGGATAGGACCCCTAGTAAGATCAATATCTGTCACACATAAGTCTGTGGCTTATAAGGAGCAGAAACAGCATTGGAAGAGTGGTACTCAGGACACTTCTGGGAAACATCCCTTGGCTAGTGAATTGGTAAGGTCAGTGGCAAGACTCCAAGGTCACACTGGCATTGAGACCAGGCTGCATGACAGGGCAGGCCTACCAAAAACAAACAAACCAAAAAACCCTAATATCACAGGGTCACATGGCTAAACTCCAAAACTGGAAAGGTCTCATCCTGGGTATCCCTATCATTCTCTGAAGGGCGTAGGCAGAGAGCTGGGGGCCAAAACCAGATTGTGATGGGTCTAGTCGGTAACAGTGCCAAAGTAGTCACAGTGGATGTTTCTAAAGCCCAGATCAAATGGAGGGGGAAAAATGACAAGAGGAGGAAGAGTTTGTTTTCACAGGAGAAAAGAGAGCAATTGAGGACATGATCCAGGGAACAAATGAAGCCCAGGCTTGGTAGAAGTCAGAAAGCCAAAAATGGGGAGGGGAGTGGCGGAAACACCTAGTCAGGGGAAGCCACCAGCTAGAGGGCATGTGTACCATGTAGGGAGGAGCTGGGGTGTTCTCAATTTGCTTCAGGAAGAATGAAGGAAAGACTCCAGTGTCCTTGGAGTATCCAGAGTTACTTCCATCTCCTTCCATCCCCATGTCTCAGGGCTGTGCAAAACTTTCATGCACCGGGATTCTGCCTGAGTGAGGGAAGGGGCTCACGTGTTGTTTAAGATAGGACACTGCGTCCTCTCCCACCATGCATATCTGAAGACCTGGGGCATACAGGAGCCAGGTGAATGTCACTAGACGTGTGCAAAAGAATGGGAGGAAGGAGACAAATGTGGGCGGGAAAGACCTCTGCCAGGTCTGAACTGGCTCAAGCCTCCATCCTCTGAGAAAGCTTCCATAGATCTCAACAGAAGCAGGGTTAGCCAGGGATACACACACATCAGCTTCATGACATCTGGATCCCACTATCCATGTGTAAGTACAGGCGGCTTCCCCATACCAGGAGTCAACCCTCTGCA